TACCAGGGCGATTTGATGTACGACTATCGACAATCAAGGTAGACCTCCAGAAACTGATAGGCGGGGACAGCCTCACCGTCCCCTGCACCCTAACTAGCAATGGAATTGGAGTTACCTTAACTGCGTTGGTTGATACAGGAGCAGACCTCTATACCGCGATCGATCCCTCAGTGTCCACCGAGATAATAAAGAAACTAAACCTCATCCGCGTCCCCCTCGGGCGGTCGATCCCCGTAACCGACTACCACGGACGCCCCGGCACCCCGATCACCTCAGCACTGGTCTCGAACCTCTGGGTTGACGGCCGAATGGAATACTCGGCGCCCATCCTCGAAACCCCTCTCGGACCAAGCCAGCAGATGATCCTGGGCCGAATTTGGCTGGCGATCCACGGCGTGCTTCCCGATGCAAGGCACCGACGACTCGTCTGGCCACCCGAAAGGTCACGTGACACCCACCACCGGGTAATCGAGATTCCCTACGAAAAACTGCGTGCGCAGCCTGTCGACCCGGCACACCAGCAGGATATGCAGCGGCGCGACGGCGCGATCGAGAAACAGGACCGCCGACAACAGGAACAGCGGACCCTGAGCCTCTTGAAAAGGAAAAAACCCGATCCGCCTACCCTGGACCTACCCCGCACCGAGCAGCTACCCTGCACCGAGCCCGCCGGCCCGTGCGACCCACTGCACCCTGGTCGGGGAGGACATAAGGGGGCGCAGAAAGCGACAAGCACGGACCACCATTACAAGCACGAACAAAAGATGGCAAAGGCGCTGCGGGAACCTTACAGCGCTGACCCCCCTAAGGAACGAACGGTTGCAGAAGGGCTCCAGTGGGAATGGAGCCAATACGAAGACACGAAAGGCCTTGAGACCGCCGCCCGCGCAGTAATGATCAGCGCTGTAGCCATGTCTACGATGCTGAAGAGGAACCCGGGGCACCAACACAGCTTCGTATCAGTGGGAATCAGCTCTATCAACTCCATTCAGAAGGTGATCGATCACAAGAAAAGGCTCCTCGAGGGAGAAGACGAAGATACACAGAGGGCGATGGAGGCGGCAGCAAGCAAGCATCCCTACCTGGAAGAATACGCCGACGTGTTCTCGAAGAAGGAATCAGACAACCTACCACCACACCGAGAAGCGGACCACAAGATCGAGGTGGAAAGCAAACAGGGCTTGACAACCAGTCCACTGTACGGGCACACCCTGACCCAGCTGGAAGCCCTGAAGGCCTATCTAAAAGACTGCTTGGAGCGCGGATTCATCGAGCCCTCCTCGGCTCCCTTCGCCTCCCCGGTACTGTTTGCATTGAAATCTGACGGGTCATGGAGGGTTTGTGTGGACTATCGGAAGCTGAACGCGCTGACAACCAAGAATCGGTACCCCCTCCCGCTAATTGACGATACCCTGAGACAGCTGGGAAAGGCCAAGATCTTCACCAAGCTAGACATCCGACAGGCGTTCCACCGCATCCGAATGGACCCAGAGAGCGAAGACTTAACCACCTTCCGCACCCGCTACGGGCAGTACAAATATAAGGTGATGCCGTTTGGGTTGTGCAACGGCCCGGCAACCTTCCAGAGCTTTATCAACTCACAGGTGTTCGAGTTTCTAGACCATTTCCTGACGGCTTACATCGACGACCTCATCATCTACTCGGACAACGAAGAAGAACATCAGGAGCATGTCAAAAAGGTACTCCAGAAGCTCCGAGGAGCTGGCCTACAAGCAGACCTCAAGAAGTGTGAATTTCACACCACCGAGACTAAGTTTTTGGGATTCATCGTGGGAACCGACGGCATCCGAGTTGACCCCCAGAAGATCGAAGCCGTGACCTCTTGGCAGACCCCAGCGACGGTGAAAGGAGTTCAGGCCTTCCTCGGGTTCTGCAACTTCTATCGCCGCTTTGTGGAACGATACGGCAACATTGCGAGACCCCTACAGAAGCTGACAATGAAGGATCGAGCTTTCCAGTGGACCGACGATTGTCAGGAAGCCTTTGACCACCTGAAGAAGGCTCTGACCACGACCCCACTCCTTGTCCACTACCAGATCGAGCGCGAGACCCGCCTGGAGACAGACGCATCCGACGGAGTCATCGCGGGAGTTCTCTCCCAGAAGGTTGACGAGCTTTGGAGACCTGTTTGCTACTTCTCCAAGACAATGAACGGCCCGGAAGGCAACTATCCCATCCACGACAAGGAACTCCTCGCTATTGTCCGTGCCTGCGAGGAATGGTATCCCCTGCTCCTGGGCATCCAGAAGAAGTTCGAGGTCTTGACAGACCACCACGCCCTCCAATACTTTATGACCAAAAGATTACTAAACGCCCGGCAAGCAGGTTGGTCGGAGTTTCTAGCACCCCTAAACTTCGAGATCAAGTACCGGCCCGGCAAGATGAACGCGGCAGCGGACGGCCTTTCCAGGAAGACGGAGGACCTTACCACCCAGAAGGCGATCCAAGCCGCTTACCGAACACAGACCCTTTTGCCGGCTCACAAGTTAGACCCACAGGTGTTGAAAGAGTTTCAGGAGATCAGCGAGCAAGAACAAGACCTCCTGAACACGCAGGAGCCTCCGATCAGCGTCCAAGCCTGCAAGATCTGGAGCATCGACACCGACGACGTTGAAGGACGTCCCCAGGGGGTAGACCTCATCGACAAAATCCTGCAAGCGAATCGAGGAGCCGAGAGCCTCGAGTCGTTCCGAGAGATGGCAAGCAAGCCCGGCAATGACACTGACTGGACCATTCAAGAAGGACTCCTCCTGAAGGGAGGAAGGTTGGTAGTAGCAGGAGAGGACAACCTGCGTACCCACCTGTTGGCCGAGATCCACGAGCAGCTCCCTACTGCTCACCCAGGCCGAAACAAGATGCGGACCCTCGTTCGGCAACGGTACTACTGGCCAAAGATGTTCTCGGACATCGATACTTTCGTCCGCAACTGCCTCACCTGCAGGAGATCACACAAGCCGCGCGACAAGACACCCGGGCTCCTGAAGCCCCTAGACATCCCGAACCGACCCTGGCAGCACGTTACGATGGACTTTCACAGCATGCCCGAAGACAAGCAGGGCTACGACCAAGTCTTTGTGGTAGTAGACCGACTGACCAAAAGAGCCTATTCCCTACCCTGCTACAAGACAACCACCGCTAAAGAGATGGCAGGCATGTACTACAAGTACGTTTGGAGAAACCACGGGGTTCCAGATTCGGTGGTCTCGGACCGAGGCCCGCAATTCATCTCCCACTTCTGGGACGAGTTCTGCCGAATGCTAGGAGTCAAGATCAAGCTCTCCTCTTCCGAGCACCCACAGACTGATGGACAGACCGAAATCATGAACCAGTACCTCGACCAGCGATTGAGGCCCTTTGTCAACCACTACCAGGACAACTGGGCCGAGCTCCTGCCTGCAATGGACTTCGCCCAGGCCATCCTCCCGCACGAGTCTATAGGGCTTTCTCCCTTCGAAGTGGAAACCGGATACCAACCACGAATGTCATTCGACTGGGAAGCCCGTTCCCAACAGTCCCTTTCGGAAGCGGAAACACTCAGCAGAGAGGACGCAGTGAAGATGACCTCCAGGATCCAGGAGGCCGTCCTCCTAGCGAAAGAGCACCTCGAAAAGGCCCAAGCCACCCAGAAAAAACAGGCTGACAAGCACAGACGCCCGGAAGACTTCAAGACAGGTGACTACGTCATGGTTACGAAGGGAAACTGGCAAACGAATCGACCGAGCGACAAGCTGGACTTTCCGGTCTCAGGGCCGTTTAAGATCTTAGCTAAGAAGGGAGCTTCCTATCTCCTAGACCTGCCCGACACCTGGAAGATGCACCCGGTCTTCTCGCCCGACAAACTGAGGAAGGCTCCGAGCGACCCGCTCCCGGGGCAAATCCCTACCCCGTTACCACCAGAGGAAATCGATGGGGAGCTGGAATACCAAGTAGAGAAACTGATGGGCTCTCGACTGACAAGGGGGAAACTGGAGTACCTGGCCAAATGGATCGCCTTTGACGACGACCCGGTCTGGTACCCAGCAAGAAACTTTAAGAACGCCCCAGCGGTGGTTCGGAAGTTCCACGAGGAGTTCCCAGAGGCAGCAGGCCCTCCCAAACGACTAACACAATGGGAAAAGGCACACCTCGAGGAACTAGATGAAGAAGACCACCCGGAAGACGACTTTCCGGAGTCACAGGCAAAGGAAGGACCGACACGATCACGAAGAAGGTACAAGTCATGAGGACACGACTCTCTTTTCTTTGGGGGGGGGTAGTGTGACGGCCCGGCGCAGTCACAACAAGGTTGGTTACGTAATGAGCCACTTATACACTGCCCCACCCTCGGCACCGGGGGATCCACCTTTGGCGCATCCACTCTCGACACATCCGCCAATCAGCACGCTTGGTTCTGAAGCATCCACTTTCATTCACTGAATACCAAGACAGGTCCCTTGTTGATTAGATACAGGGGCTCTGTATCTGGGAACTATCCAGGAACCTGTGAAAGCAACAGCAACAGCGACCGACCGGAACCGACCGTCCCCTCGTCTATAAAAGGCCGCTGTTTCTCCCCTGGAACCGCACTTAGTTTAGTTCTTTACTTTTAGTTGTATTTTCGTTATTGGGTACAACCTTCAGGCTCGTCCTAAGTTCATTTGTGCACGCCGTGACAGTTGGTGCTTGGGTCTCCAATAAGCCCCCTCCCACTCCCCTCCCCCCCCCGGGCCCCAACTCGACTCTACTTACCTCCGCTCTGATTTTATTTGTTTGCTTTGTGTTCCCTAGTGCTGATAAAGGGGTGCCCCGCTGCGCCGGCAGACCCAACTCCCCCCCACATCATGAACTTCATTGATGATTAAGGATGATCTGAGTTGACCTGATCTATGTTGATAGGCAAATACAATAGTATACAATATACATAGCCTTAGATGAAAACAACCATCGACCTCTCTTTCCAAACCCCTTGCCTTGGCCCCTTCTAGGTGGAGGACATCAATTTAGAGCACCATGTCCACGTCCAAATCATCAAATGAATAATGGCGTTCCCCATTAGGCGCCCCCGTGGCTTGATCCCCGTCATCGCCGTTCAAGTTGTGCCTAGCAAACGCCTCCAACAGAGAGGGCACATCGACCTCGATACTGACGACCCGCATGCTTTCGATGACTTGTTCGTAAGTCAACTGGAAAGCAGTATCCGCGTGCGTGATGATCCCTTCCATCTCCTCCCCGACAGGCAGGGGGCTCGTCAGTTTCGCAGGTCGACCGTGGTCGGAAGTGCCTTTGTTGTTACTGATGTCCCCGTCCATTCCGGTTCCTTTCCCGCCGCTGCTCTCGACACCCATCGACTTATCCGCCGCCCTGGCGGTATTCTCGACGTGTAACCCGGGCCCGCCGCGGATCATCCACCTCAAGAAAGGGGCATCCGTGCTCCACGACAACGTATCGACCGCGTTGAAACCGTCGATGGCCTTGGCCAGGAGAGAATGCTGCGAGATATCGAGTGGCTTTCTCGGCGCGTGATGCCAGTTCAAGCGCGTGGAGCGGAGAATCATGAACAAGCTTGTGAAGAGGCTCTTTGAGATGTGCTGGGCCCAGGGCTGGACAGAGTTGTGCCGTCGGAGGAACTGAAGAAGGTGTTAGAGTCGAGAGCGGCACGGTGTTCCGGATTCCCAGGCTGTTGCATTTGATGTTGCTGCACTTCGATCGCGGCTTCAAACATGCCAGCCAAGCGCTCGTTGAGCAGCGGCTTCGAGACATAGTGGAAAGCCTTTCGCATCGCCACTCCCAGTGCCCGGTCGCGTCGCTCTCGCATTAGTAGGTAACGGTCGAGGAAGTAGATCATGCCCGCCTTGGGCATCATTGGTCGAACGCGTAGCTTGTTCTTCTTCCGGTCAGGATTTGAGTTGCCCAGGGGTTTACTCCGCGAAGGGGTGACGGCGGCCTGGTGATGTTGATGTTTTCGCGACACCGCGACGTCTTGATCCATTTTCACGGACCGGCCGTTACCCCGTCCAGTGCCCATAATCGAAGGAACAAGTGCGGAGGGGGAGGCTGGTCGGCTTAGGGGTTGCCTGGCTTAAAAGGGCGCTGTCAAAACGACAACATAGTAACTATTCGCGTAATGTAGGTAGGTACGGCCCATTGGAAGTATACTGGGACATAGGAAGACGATGATGGTCCGGACAAAACAACATGTGGGAGAGGGCGACTTTAGGAGGCTGGAAAAGAGTAAGTCTGTGGATCATGGGGGTTGTGCAACTTAATCAGGTTGTTTTTGCTGGAACAGGCCTCAAGATCAGATAAAAGATCAAACTTTGTCAGCAGGACTAGCTGATCTTTATTCTTATTCAAATAAGGGAGCCACCTCGCAAACCGCAAAAAGCTTTCCCTCTCGGACACAAAGTCTCGTTCCTTCGTTACACTCCTCGTTGCTGTGACTTGATCAGCTTCCCCTCCCCATCCTCGAAACGGCTTTACCCCTCTAGGATTCAACATTGAGGTACCTTCGGTCAGTCCACTGGCAGCCCGCTCCTTGATCTGCCGGACTTTTATTAACCAGCTAAGGCACGGAATACCTACGTACCTATACTATCTTCATCATGGGAGCTGACCGCGAGCGGACCCGAGTGGCGGGCAAGAGACTTCACGGCCCTAGCAGCGACAACATGCGACGCAAGCAATTAAAAAATCGCTGCGAGTCACCTCCAGCGCTGGTTGCTTCCGACAATCGTGACAAACATGACAAACATGAACCGCGTCTCCGAGACATCCTTCCCGAAGGTGGGATGGTCTGGCCTTTCGAAATTTTCATCCTGGAGGACAAGTTTGAGATGAAAATCACGGCTGCGCTAAAAAAGGTCGCTCCTCGCCTGTCCGATACGAAACTTGACGGCTTCTTCTCTGGGCTGTTCCTCGAAGCGACCGAGTTGCTGCAGGACCCAACGACTTCCGGCGACCTCAACTCCCCTGTCTCGTTTCTCAACGCCCTACATAAGCGTGAATCTGTCCGACTATGGGCCAAGCATATTAGCAAAGTTCAGTTCGTCATCCTGTTCCTGTTCCTCCGCGGGGCGCGCGATCAGTGGCACCTCGACCCGGAATCGTTCATGGATATCCAGCCTCCTTGCGAGGTTGCTATGGCGATCGACGAGTTCGACCAAAATGATGCCCTGGATTGGAGCGCCTCCGAGATTTCGCGGGCGCTTACCCCGCTGCACAGGAGCGTTGGCCGTATAAAGCTCCGGACTACTGGCGACGAGGACACTGTGATGGACGACGACCCGATGACACAGGCCGGCCAAAGGACAGCCCAGGCTCTCCACGGCCAAACCGACGCAGTGGTTGGCGAGGCTGGCATGGACAACGATGTTGACATGGTAGTTGATGGCATTGGAGAGCTCACTATACAACACCGGTAGAGATACGTGCAAACGGGCCAGAGCCGGATTAGGTTGGGAAGCAGTGGCTCGGAGATTGGCTGAAGCTGGGCCGGTGGATCAGACACGCACCCGACTGAAGATTTGTAACGTCGTGCGCGTTCCCCTGGACCGGGGGCATGTCTCGACTGCTGTAGAGGATGGGTAATTAAATGGGAAGACAACTTACCAGTATTCTAGCTCGCTCCCCCCACCGTGATTACAAACCTCTTACCTCGTTGTTATCGTTATCCAAGTGAGCATTCAGAACTTGGGAGGAAGAGGGGTGTCTAGCTAGGTACCTATGTTACATGTATGGTGAAGGGTGTAAATGGGCCCACTCAAGGTATGTACCGTAGCACTGATGTATCCAACGTCAGCCTCGGGTAGTAACAAGATGGATCCCAGTACCCGTCATAAGCGTGGCACAAGGACGCCTACCCCGCTCGATCCATTTTCCCATAAGGGCTGACTCACTGTGAAGACAACGGGACACCGGAGGACGCACCTCGTCGGCGAACAGGATCTGCGCCTCGACACGACAGACACAACACAACCGCCCCGACAAAACAGCACACACGATGGCCACCCCCCCGGCCGACGTAGCCGAGCGCATCCGCTACAAGAAATCCCGCTACACGCGCTTCGCCGACAGCAAGCAGTGGTCCCGGTTCGACAGCATCTTCGTGCCCGACGCGACCTTCTGCTTCGTCGACGAGCACGGCAAGACGGTGTCCACGCCCGACGGCGCGACCCCCTATACCTGGGACTCGCTCGAGTCGTGGGCGGCCTTCTTCGACAAGGCCTTCACCGCCCTGCAGGTCATCCACCACATCGGCCCCGGCGAGCTCGAGCAGACCGGCCCGGACGAGGTGAAAGCCGTGTTCTCGGTCCTGTACCACGCGGGGCCCGCGGGGGATGGCGAGGGGCCGCATGAGACGGGCGGTGGGCATTACTATGAGACGTGGGTGCGGAAGGGCGATGATTGGTTTTGTAAGGACTTGTGGATGCAGAGGCTGTATCATAGGGTGACTTAGGGGGGACGGCTGGTTCGGGAGAATCTGGGTATGGGGCTACGCGAGTCGGAATGGGGAAGGCTCGTGGTATCGACTGGTATTGTTTATCGTCGCATTTTATTTAGCAACTGGGCGTTGTTATGTCTAGGTACTCTACTCTATATGAGCACAAATTCCCTCACGTGCTCGATACCTCGGTAACGACAGCTGCCGGGGTGGCTTTACCGAGTTCCTCAGGAGGAACCGTTGGCACCTATGCTCCCAGCATCCTCGGCGTCGACGCCCCTGTACTCGAAGTACTTCTTAAACTCGGCGTCGTTGATGAGGTCATGGGCCAGGTGCTTCTCATAGGCGATGGAGAACTCGGGGCCCTCGTCCGACTCCGGGTCGTTATTGCGGGTCGGGTAAATGATGATGACGCCCTCCGTGACGCGATCGAGTAGGTGACGGTACGTTAAAGGGGTGGCGAAGCCAAAGTCGGCCGAGACGATGTTGGCGTCGCGATGATCCGTCATCAGGATGGACATGGGCGGGTGCGAATCGATGCGGATGTTGAGGCTAGTCTTGTCGCGCACCATGGCCACCATGTCGAGCGTCTTGTCCAAGCTTTCCTGCGTGACGCTGTTGGTCATCCGCCGGACGTATGAGGCGAGCGTCGACAGCGGCGCGTGTAGGATCTCGTCGGCGGTAAGCTGCTGTATAGGTGCCGTGGTTGACAGGGCCGCAAACATGACGTTGTGCTGGATGCGCGGGTGCACCTTGGGGCTGTGCATGCGCCGACGCATGTCAATAGCCTCAGCCCAGAAGATGTGCGACGAAGGCTCCGGTTTGAAGACGGGGGCGCGCAGCCGCGTCAGTGTACGCCAGAGGAAGGCCGAGAAAGCGTCATACGTCGAGATCCACGAGCCGTCGGTGGGTGCCGCCAGTGTCTTGAGCTCGGCGGCCTTGCTCTTGGGTAGGTGAAAGAGCAGTAACTGGGCGACTTTGTGATCGGGATGACGTTCGGCTTGGGGTGGACCGTCCACTTTGACCTCGTCCGCCACCTCCTTCTTGATCAAGCGTGAGAGATCAAGACAAATAGGGTCCCAAGTAGGGAACGGCGTGTTGTTGAGTGCAGCCCTGCAATTCTCGGCCAGCTGGTGGGTAAAGCCGGACCATCCCATCACGTCGTTGGCGTAGTGGTGGTGGTGCATATTCAGGACAAGCCCGCCGCGCACAAAGTTGGCTTGGAATGCCGACACCACTGGGTGGCTGTCGGGGTGAGCCTCGGGTTTCTCGCCGTATGTCATGGGCGGTACGCTCCAAGTTTCCAGATTGCCGAGCACCACGGCGCTGTAGTTGGCCGTCTCGACATCATCAATGGACGGGTACTTGGTGCTCTCCTCGGGCGCGTCCAGCCACTGTACCACGAAGCGCACAGTACTGCCCTTCCTCTTGACGAATGAATGGCCACCCTCGGGATCCTTTTCAATGGTTCCAACATAGTGGCGGGCTTGGCTAAGTGTCCGCTCGAGGCCCGTCTTCAGCGTTGCTGCAGCCTTCTCCTTGTCCACATCGTCGAGCCGGAAGAATAGGGCGTAATTGTTGTAAGTGCAGGCCGTCAGGTAATCGAGGGTTGTTACTTTAAACCGCTCCTCCTCCGGATCGTTCTCCCAACCGAAGGGGTGGAGCTGATGAACTGTTCGGTGGGGCATGGCCGTGTGTGCGAAGTTGGTACTATTGCTCGCTCTTGACTGCTGACTAGGTAGTCACTGGAGGAGAGAACGCGAGGTGGAAAAGCCCTGGACATCATCAGCCAGTGGCCGTCGCGCTTTAAATAGGCCCGGTCTCTCGCTGTCTCGTCAGCTCCATAATTGGGAAAGCCCAGAGACATGGACCCAACGGGGAGGATTGATCAACACTGGGTGCCCGGGCAGCGTGCTCCATCGGCAACGTCGCCATGTTGCATTAGAGCAGGGTTGAACTTTCTATACCGTTCCATCTCGAGTCCCCCAAGCCGGCGCCGTTACATGGTTGGCAGCTGTGTGTCAGACAACCCCGCTCGGACAAGACTTCCTAAAAGATGCAGGTTAAGTACAGAAATTGCTGTTCTGGCCGCCGAACCTGGCAGGGCGGTGCCGCCATTTTCGGGCGTCTCGACAGTGCGGGTCGCTGGGCCACAGCCAGGTACATTACTTGGTACCTGATCGTGGAGGATATGGGTGGGAAGGGAGAAGGTCGTGTTTGATATCCGACGAGGGCTTACTCCTATCCTTTGATGTTTGTGATACTTGGTCGGCAGTTTCATCCAATGGGCCCTCGTCAAAGAACCTGGAATTCTCTGGAAACGGCCCTGGAAACGAAATCCATCTTGCCTATGTTCCTCCAGAGAGTCATGATTGAAGCACGGGCACCTTCGCATCTGCCCTTGATTTTAGAAAGGTAGAAATTAATCACCTAGAAAAAGTTCATCTTACATTGCGGTTATGTATACAAGGTAATACCCTCAGCAGATCCCTCACTCATCCCCTCCGTCCTTCACAACATCTTCCCACGAGAGATACCGGCCCGCGGGTGTAAACGCCCCCAGCACATCCTCCTCCATGCTCATCAAAATCGGAATGCCGCCCTCCAGCCGGTGAGCAGAAAAGCGCGCGTAGCCCTGCTGGACGTCCCCAAACGGCCTCGGCCCGTCCCAGCCCATGTCCTTCATCTCCCGCGGCGAGATACTGATGACCTTGGTCAGCCACTGGCCCTTGAACACGAGGAGCCGCGGTTTGCCGGGCTCGGGGAACGCGGCGCTGAAGAAGAGGGCCAGGGGTAGGTTGGTGTGTTGGAGGCTTTTGTGCACGTCGGCGCAGGCGCGAGTGAGGGAGTCGAGGTCTATAGCCTGCTGGGAGGCCTCCGCGCGCTCGTAGGCTAGCGGGCCTTGGTCTGCCTCGATGAGGGAGGCAGACTGGAAGGTGGGGTCGCTGGTGAGGTGGGAGACGTGCCAGATTTTGTAGCTGTCCTTCAGTAGGCTGCCGGCGCGCGAGTGCCGGAGGATGTGGGGGATCTTGAGGTTCTTTGTGGAGGAATCGGTTGCCCCCCCTGTCTTTAGGGAGTGACAGATGCGTGTCGCCACGTCCAGTGCGACCTTGCCGACGAAACACTGCACCACGACGGCCAAGTCGGTGGACTGTTTCGTCCTGTCGTCTTCGGTGAGGGACTGGCGGATGAAGGACTGCACATGCTTGAAGACCTCCTTGAGAGGGACTTGGGACCCGGCGTAGAGCGTGGAACACTGCGCCCAGGCCTGTGTGTATATGGACTCGACGATACCGATCAGGCGTTTCTCGGTGCCGGACGTGAAGCGAGGGTCCTGGGGCTCCTGGTGGTTGCCAATATGAGTGTCAAACTGGCTCAGGACTCTCATGATGGCTCGTTCGGCCCACCAGAAGAATTCGTCGTTCATGATCGAGCAGAGGCTGTCGAACCTTTTCTGGATGTCTCTCTGGAAGTCAGCGGCCGCTTGAGCTCCCGCTCTGCCCGGGGGCAGGCCCGACCGCTTGTGTTGGTCGAGGAACCTGACCAGGATGCCCTCCCGGACTTCGACGTCCCTCAGCAGCGCGATGAATGAGTCTGCATATTCCAGCGGCTTTCCCGCCGTGATCTGGTTGTAATAGCGCAGCATCACCTGCTTGCGCCGCGTGCCCTCGTCCTGGTTGCGGCTGGCACGCTCGAGGACCGCCTTGTAGGGATGTTGCAGCCTCTTGAGGGAGACCAGATGGCACAAGAGCGTGAAATCGTTCTCTGAGTCGATTCTCAGCCAACGGATATCGCGGGAAATTTCTGGGTCTGTCGGTTGCAGTACTCTGTCCAGAAAGCTCTTCACTGTCTTCAGCTGCGGAAGGGACGCAAGGGAGTGCTCGGCTACTTGGGTGCGAGGACCGCGTCGCCGTCTGTCCTCTCCGTCGGAATCCTCGGCATTGCCGTCATTGCCGCCGCCGGGATTCTGATCGCCCCGCTGAGGTTGGTTCTGGCCATTTGTGTTACTGTTTTGGGACTGAGACTGAGTGCTGGGATCCGGTCGAGGGGCAGCGTTTCTGGTTCGGTTGGGTTTTCCTCCGTGGCCAGCGTAGTCGAGAATCCTTAGCTCGTTGCTAGGATGGGGAAGGCGAATGAAGTGTGCATAATCATGGTGCATGTGCCCTGGCCTCTGGATGGAGAGCTGGTTGAGTCTGTTGGCTAAATCCGCCGCCTCATCTTGCACCGAGACGCGAGCGGGGTTAATCTCCATGGTCGAAGCTGTTGATCACGAAGCTGATGATCACTTTGGTGTTGTGGTGCGAATTACGAAGGGATACAGGGGAGGGGAGAGAGAGGAAGAGTATGGAAAATGTGAGCCTTACCTACCTATATGTCGAGCCTTCGTCCCAATGGAGCTGAAGGGGCGGTGCGTAAAAGCTGAGACATTCCAGTTCGCTCATGGTCCAATGCACGCATGTGGCGTCGACTGCGGCCCGAACCTGGCCCTATCGAGGGTCGCCAAGCTCGCAGCAGCGCTTAACTAAGGTGCAAGGGTTGCCTGGCCCCCAAAGCCTGGTGCCTGCACACCTCCGGAGTTTGCTATTCGTCTTCTTGTTCAATTCCGTCCTCAGGGCTGCTGTTACGCTCTGCACCGGCAACGATGGATAGCCCGGTCGACTTTTCTGCACTGGCTGAGACGGATGACGAGCCAGATTGGTTAGCCGTAGCCGCTAATGCACCAGCAGGGAATCAAGGGAATCAAGGGAATCAAGGGAATCAAGGGAATCAAGACCCAGGCTCGACTCGCTCGAGCAATGCTGTCCCCCCAGTGCCCCCGCCGACTATGACTGCAGCGCCGACTGCAACAAAGTCAACACCCGATCCGGCACCAACAGCAGCTGATTTGATTCAAGAAAAACCGTGGAAGTATGTGGGCTACCAGGCTTACTCTGACCTACTCGCTTCCGAGCCCGACTTTTTCGTCGCCCGTCGGTTCCGGAGCCTCAACGTACGGGTGGCCCTGCGCATGCAAGATGAAATCTCGAGGCTGGAAGAGAAGCTCGCCCGGATCGAAGAGGAGAGTCGCCAGCCGGACAAGGGGGTAGATAATGGTACGTTTAGGAAAGATGTCGTCTCTGAGAGAGTTGAGCTCCTGGACAAGATCTCGACATCCCTGTATCGATACAGTAAGTGCAGCCCCCGTTGATTTAGGTGAAGGTAGTGCGGCACCAGGGTCACTCACTCACCTCTACCCTCCGCGTACCCAGACAAATTCATCATTCAACAGACCACCCTGTTGAAGTATCCCGCTGCGCCTTCCTGGGACATCACCAGCCTCAAGAACTGGCATATGAGCCATGCCAACGAGGCGATTCACCGGGAGGAAAAGACCTATCTGGAGTACCCGGATGACCTCATCCCCATCGGCCCGCGAGATAAGACGCCGCTACGTCGGGGGATGGACAAGTTTCTGTTCTTGCGCACGCTCCCCTTCTGGCGGGATGACCGGAGCAAGACGCTGTCGTCCGGCGGCCGGCGCAGGATCGGGGATGTGGAAGATGGCACTGGCAGTAGCAAGGACGCCGACCTGCCGCCGGACGCCTTACACCCGACCATGAGTTTCTACAACGACAAGGTCATGGACCATTTCGTGTCCATCGTAACCATTTCCATCGGCCTCGTGATGCTGGTGGTGCCCATCTGGGTGCTCCAGGCCCTGGGAAACGCCTCTCACAAGCTGGGCGTCATCACGGCCTTTGTCCTCGCCTGTCTGCTCTTGACGAGCTTCGCCATGACGTCGCGGCCTCTCGACGCACTGGGCGCGACGGCTGCGTGAGTCTTCTTCGGTTCCTCTGCTGCATTCTGCCGTCAGTGATAGCTGTTAACTAACTGTGTCTCGTACACCGCCCAGGTACGCCGCGGTTCTGATGGTGTTCCTGCAAGTAGGAGCCAATTAATTGGCCGCACTACTGTGGAATATGCATCTCACAGTTGTAGACTGTGGTTGGAGTTACTGGACGAGTTAGCGGGCGGCTGGGATCCGGATGTCGCGTATTGGGGGACTGTGGTATCGACTGGGAATCCTCGGGGAATTGGGAACCGGATGCAGTTGATTCCGCTGCGGGAGAATGGCATGGACCGGGGTCTCGAGTTTCCGGATTGTGAGAAGATCCTCCAAGACATGATACGCGAGAAAGCAGCTAGCAAGCGGTGACGAAGGCGGGTGCACATTCCAGATGATCAAAACCAACCCTATGTCGTTGAATGTGTTGTAAGAATAAAGGGGTGAGTTTCAGCAGGCTTTATACCTAGACTCGTGAACCTTTCCTCTGGCATTCGTGACTAGCAAGTGCCGTAGAATCTAGAACCCCTTTATGTGACCGCTGAATTTGGCAGGGCAGTGCCGCCATTTTCGGACGCCTCGACAGGGCCGTACCAGCACGCGGGTCCGACGCAGCGCCATACCCGACTACCTAGGAAGGACGCCATTCCCGGAGGGTGCGACAGCGTGTTCTGCGTTACAAGTAATACAAGTATGGGTGGATGAATTAATACATGCTTCGGGTGTGCTTTTTCTCACTCGCTACCTCTACTCAGGATACCATCTCCTGAAGTCACCCCGTAGTCAAACTATGAAATGTAGGTCCTGGCCTAGTCAAGATCGAGGCCATCTACCTTTCTCTTCTGGGCATGGGCCTGTTTCTTCATGCCCCCTTCCGTCTCGAACATTCCTAGGACAGCCTCATTCCGACATGCGGCTGCTATATCCAAGCTAGTTCGCTGTCTGCTGTCCAACTCCATCGGATCGACCCCCTTTTCGACCAGCCTTCTATACACCACAGCCCACTCCCCACGCCGCGCCGCGAGATGCAGCATATTTCGTCCTTCATTGTCCTTAGCCCTGAAATCCGCCCCCGCTTCGACCAACACTTCCCACGCCTGGTCCTGCGCAGGGGCCCACTCTCGCGCCACTTCGTCATGGTGAATATCATCGATCTTTGGCCCCTGTAGTAGCCCAAAAAGCGGCGTTTCCCCTTTGTGGTTCCTCGCATTGATATCGAGGCCGAGCGCGAGGAAGCGCCGGAACAGTTGTGGACAGGCTGTGTGATTCCACACCAGCAGGCGGGCAAGGATGTGAAGTGCGCTGTCGCTGGACGAGCTGTCGATGCTCCCTGGGTCGGCGCCGGCGGAAAGTAGAAGGGTGATGGCATGTTCGCTAATCCCCTGTTGGTTCCAGTTACCCCATAGCCCGGCGAGCGCGTAGTGAAGAGGGGTCTTTCCCATATTGTCCACTTGGTTCAGGAGTGAATTTAATGGATCTGGGCCGAGGAGCGAGTTGAGTGGTTCGTCAAATATATCGGGCGATGTGTAGAGCTGGCGCATCATCACAGCGTGGAAAGCAGTGTGCAGAGCATTACGACCGTGGTCATCGCGCGCCGAGAGGTCAGCACCACGTTTTAGTAGAATGTCGATCAGTAGCGTGGGTTCGGGGTCGTCTTGGTCTTGGTTGGACAAATCCACATGGCTGCAAAACGTTGCGGGATGGCTACAGGCAGCTAGGAGGAGAGTCTGGCCGTTGCTGTCGCGATGTTCGAGGTCAAGATGTTGGAGCTCGAGGAACGGGCCGAATATGCCATGGTCCCGGAGAACCTGGTGGGCCACCGCACGGCGTTCGTAGCCTCGCTTATGCGGCCGATTGAAGGAGCCCCTACCGGGCACGTCCGAGTCGTCCTCGTCCTCAGATGAAATCCACGGCGTTGTACCTGCGGGCGAACTGTCGGGCTTTCGAACCCTGACCTTGCTGTAGGGGTCTACCTCGCGAGCCAAGAGCAGCCTCACCATACTAACACAGGCATTGTGCTCTCGCTCTCCTCGCTTGTCGCCCTTCCAAGCCCCCCGCATTGCTGTCGCGGCGCGATGTAGCGCATGCTGTTCCTGATCCAGCTCGTAGTCGCGTAGCAGCTCCTCGTCCAGCCGGGGTCCGCTTTCTTGTCGATCCGCGTTTTCCGAAGACAACAGCGTTTCTAAGACGCCGACATTCCTCTTCCAGATGGCCGCGAACACGGCTGAGGCATTCACCTTGGCGCCGTGGGCCATCAAGAGCCGGACAGATTCGACATCGTTTACTCCCCGGACAAGACAGCTGGTTTCGTACTTCGTAACGGCGTTGACGTTTGCGCCAGCCAAGATGAGGGCCCTCGCCGCTTGTTTTTGGAACGGGCCACTTTCGTAGTCTCCGTCCTCCAGAGCGACGTGTAGGGCGGTTTCGCCATCCTTATTGCGAACCTCGAGGTCTGAACCGCGCGAGAGGAGATACGGAAGGGCATCGTGCACATGCCACCACTGTTTCCCCAGTGCCAGGAAATGCAGAGGTGATTTCAACGTTCTATACTCCAAGTTAGCTATCACGATACCTCCAAACAGCCCCACAGGTTGACCTACACAGAAGCGTTTAATTTCTCTACCAAGACCCGTAGCACTTCCATGTTAGGAGCGTCACGCATGCAAGCTTTAAGGACAAGCGGAGTGTCACCCCCGCATGGTTTCCAGCTCTTGAGCCACTCGTCATTTTCAACAGTCGCAATATGTTCTTGCGTCGCGATTCTGGCTAGCAACGAGGCGTGTCCGAGGGAAACCAAGGCGTGGAACAGCGTCCGGCCGCCTTGGCCAGTTGCACACGGATCACAGCCTAGCGCCTCGGATGCGGCCTCGACCAGGTCAAACTCGCGGTTCCCGAGAAGCTGCAAGAATAACTTCTCCTGCAGCCTGTTGTCTCCTTTCGCAAGGGTATCGAGAACGACCTCGTGGAAGGCACGCGTAGCGGCTTCGCGTCGTATCTCGGCGCACCGGCGAGTGAAGACCGACTCAGCCGGAGCGTACACGGTTTCAGGTTCGTCGCCGGAAAGTGTTCTGGCGAGGCGGGAGAATAAACACACGGTATAATCCAAGTCGGAGTCAGCCATGTCCTGGAGAAAGCGCTGCAGATATTGACGTGCTGGACCATCCTTTGCCAGGCCACGTTCAGCGAGCATACCAAGAATCTCGTCCAACCTCGTATTAAAGTTTGGGAAATCCTGCCTGTCAAAGTCGGCAAACGTCCGAGGGTCCAATGGTAACTCGTTCTCAATCGCCCATTGTGTTTGGCGGCGGCGGTCTTCCCGCTCAAACCTGGAGCAGGCGTGGAGGAGATCTCGAAACTGGTCTTCGACTTTGGCGCCAGCGTTCAGAAGCAGAGCGGCACCCTCTGGATGTCCCGACAAGCAGGCGTAGTAGAGCGGTGTCCTCAGCTCTTTGTCTCTTGCGTCGATTACGCTTTGCGGGTAGCGGTTTGTTGTCCGTATCGTTGTGAGAAGTAGGCCGAGCACATTGCTCTCTCCCTTCGCCGTAGCGAGATGCAAAGGTGTAGAACCGTTGTACGTTGGAGCTGAAATGTCGGCGCCAGCTTCTATCATAGCGGCCACGGTGGCCGCCGATACTGTGGCGGCAAGGTGTATCGGGCGCTTGCCTTCTTGGTCCGGAAGCTCAAGAGTTTCCTTTTTGCACGCTGCCATCGCCGCCTCGAACAAGGACCTGTCGTAACAGTGCTTGGCCCCAAGAACATGGAACACCGTGTGACCCCAGTGGTTCGCCGCGTTTGGGTCCACGCCTTCTTCAATCAAGTACTCGAACACCGACAGGCAGTCATCAGGACCCTGGCGCATGAGCTCGTGGAGGAGCGTGTTTCCAGCATGGTCGACTTGTGTGGGATCAACTCCGAGCTTCACGAAATGTTGGAAATCCTCCCAGCCCTTTTCGCGGTGCCTCGGGCTATAGTCTGATAGGTCTTTTAAAAGCACGTGAAGGATGGTATGGCCTTTGAAGTCCTTTGTGTCAAGCTTTGCACCGAGCCCCAAGAGCTGAGTTATACTCCTTTCTCGCGGATGCGACTGGCGGCGGTACAGCGTCCGCATTAAAACCGTCCTCCCATCATAGTCCTGGGCTTCGAGGTTCGCTCCTTCGTTAACGAGAAGCTCAACTAAATGCGTATCGTCGGCTACGTGGATTGCCATGTCGCCTTTGTGGTTCCGCTGGTCGACCTTCGCACCCGCGGCGAGCAGGGCGTGGACTACTTCATCCCGAAGCGGGATGTCTCCGAGTGAGACCGCTTTATGCAAGGGAGTATTGCCGTCATTGTCCGGAAGGGTGCAATCAGGGCCAAAGCTTCGAATGAAACGAAGGCAGGTACTGAGATCACATGGCCTGTTAAGCATAACCAAGAGAGGGGTTTCTCCGCCCTTCCCTCGGCGCTTGTTGATATCTGCTTTTCCCTCCTCGACGAGCAACTTGACGATCTCCCATCCTTCCTCCCCGTTCAGTTGGGTGTGGAGGAGCGTGGAGCCGTCCTGAAACTCGCTATTTGGATCGGCACCCGCGCGTAAGAGGAGCCGAAGAAGCGTTGGCCGGCCAGCAGCATGGTGCAGAGGCGTTTTCAGATTCCGGTCGCGCCGATTGATGTCTGCCCCGGCTTGCAAAAGCAGGCCAAGGCCGCGTTGGAGACCACCTGTTTCGGGTTCTGAAGTAGGGTCGCGAGGTCGTCTGGGGAGTGGGGCGCAGAAGGCCTCCAGGGGAGCCACCGAGCCCTGGGACAAGTATTGCGAACTAGCAGAGTCGGCGAACTCGAAGGGCGATGCAGAGCAAAGGATGGTAGCATCTGCCCCGGCTCGAAGAAGCGCTTCGATGGACTCGACATCGTTCTGTGCGCAGGCATTAAACAATGTTGTCAACCCATAGATCTTAGTGTTGACATCTACACCGGGGTGTTGGATCAAACACTTCACTACTTTTGCCTGGCCTGCCCTGGAAGCCCAATAAAGGGCCAGATATACTATTTTGACGTCGAGGTACGGCAGAAAGGCCTCAACGGCCTCAACGTGGCCCGCTTGACAGGCATACATGAGGGCTGTGTGGCCGGTGGTTCTCGGCGCGCGACCGCATCGCCTGCCTGGGTTTTCGCGCGTTTTCCCGGTCAGAGGGTCCACCCCTGCATCGAGCAAGACGGTCACGACAGTGGGATGGTTATTGGAAGCTGCGCGGTGTAGCGGTTTCAGCCCGCATTTGTCGCTCGGGTTAGGATCGACCCCGGCACTGACCAGCAGCTTGATTGCGTCGGCGTGGCCCGCCTCGGCTGCGTGAAATAACGGGGTTTGGCCCTTGCAATCGATAGTGGCAGCGACTGTCGGCCCTTCGCGTCGGAGAAGGAGGTCGAGATACCACGTTAGGCCGTAACGCGCTGCAATGTGGCTGGTCGTCACGCCCATGGTCGCGCGTGGCCACCACGCAATTGTGAGCCAGTATTCGAGCCTGTTCCCCGGCACCAGAAAACCGTCCACGGCCGAGACCAAAGATGGCGATGGCAAACCGTCGCCGAGGGCTCTTGCTGCGTGGATGATCCAGTTCTTGGAGGCGTATTCTGCGAACGGAAACCGGAGACGGAGCCCATTGTGCGCCCGGGGATTGCGAAACACAAATGGGGTGTCGTCCTCGGTCCTTTCGGTGTCAGAATCATCATCTAAGCAACCGGACAACTCCAAGTACCGGATGCAGTACAGTGCCAGCTCTTCGTGTGTTGGACCCGGCAGTAGTTTCGGGATTGAAGACGTATCTGATGCAGACCGTGTCGAGCCAACAAGATATTCGGTCAAGGAATGGTGTACGACCGAGACTGTCTCATCGGGATGGATCTCGAGCAACGGTCCACATGCAACTCGTATTAAAGACTTGGCGCTCTGCAAATCGCGGCTGTCGGTGAGGTTATACGTGACGCGTAGCATTTCTGCCATCTCGATCAAACGAAGTGGGCGGATTGCGTGGGTTGCCCAGCATAAAAGCAGACGCTGGATGTCGTTGGGCACCCCTGAGGCTTTAGCGTGTTCCTCAAGCAAGTTGGCGTACATGGAGTTCAAGTTCGTCGGTAGCCTCTCCAAGGTCTGCCCGACATTGGCGTTCGGTTCGAGAAAGGCGTCCATTGCCAGGTTTGCGAACAGGAACAAGCCTCTGGCGCGTCCAGATACCGCCTCTTTGATCCGGGTGCGATCCTCGACAGCGATATCCAACTTTGATAACTTATCCTCGACAAACGTTGCAATGTCAGTGTCAACGAGTGGCCCCTCTAGCCGAATTTGAAAGGCCGGAAATTCGCGGAGAGCTGTCTCGACGGTAGCTACAGGGCGGCTCGTGACGACGACCTTTACCTGTCCGGGTCTCCATGTCCCCAGTCGCCCCAAGGCTTTCAGGCACTGGTCGTTACGCGGGTCCATCTCGTCCAAGGCGTCCGCAACCAAGTATACCCGAGGCATGTGGGCCAATGCTGTTTCCAAGTGTCTCCAAAGATCGTCGGCGCCGAGACTCTCGAGCGCGCGATTGAGATCAGGACGCTCCTCATCAGTGTAGGCCTTGAGGTCCCTCTGCAGTGGGGGGCTGGACTCGAGGATTTGGTCGAGCCAGTCCCGTAGCATCTGGATCGGTTTGTGGTTCGCGTCGATGATCTGTCGGAAGAAAAAGAAAAGAACAGGACACCCCTCCCTAGCAAGCATTTTCGCGAGGCTCGCAACAAGGACGCTCTTTCCGGCGCCAGGAGCGCCCTTAATCCATAGCAGGCCATGGTCTAGACCAGTGTGCCACTTCTGATAAGTCTCTGTTCCTGTGAGCCATTGGCTAGTCCCTGCGACATGAGAAGCGAGATGTTTACGGAACTCGCCGCCTTCGTGATGGTATGGCGTCGGCTCAAGCCACTGTCGAATGCGATCGATGACGCTGGGTGATTCGGGCAGAACATTGTCGGGGTTGTAAGTTTTTACATCTTCCCTAGTGATGATAGCTAAATCGCCATCGCTTTCGCTGTCCATGTTCGAGGGTACTTTGGCTGTGAACTCCCGTTCCATGGATGTAGCCTTGGATTGGTGGATTGAGCGGGAAAGATGGGTACGAAGTTGGAAGAGGTTGAGGGTGAGATTCTGACTTGGCATGGAAACCTGAGCTCCGGAGGTACCTACATGTCATTCTACGCTCGGTTTCGGAACAAAGCTTCGCCGGTCTGGACTTGGGGTCCGCGGGTCCTGGTGGTTGTGTTGGGTGCGAGTCGTTCTTTCCCAATTAGGTCCCCCAAATTCTCGAGGGGCCTAAAAGTGGAGGGTAAGGTACCTTACAACAAAAAAGGTCAGACACCGAAACTGAGCACTCTTTATTAGGTGCCGTAGGTAAGATATTGTGACAAATCTCCTCTGGACCCAGGATAGAGAACGATCACAGCGAGGATCGGGTGAGATATTCGTTTCTGCAAGACGACCGTAATACATGGGCACAGAAGGGCAAGGATTGTGTATTATTGCAGAGGATCACCAAGGTCGAGGGGAGGGGGGGGGAAGGAGGGGGGTTCGAACCAGGCTGGTGGGTGAGGGATGTCCGGATCGAGTTAAGGCGATATGGGCATACGGGCATATCGTAGAGCAGTTCCGAGAGCGGTTGCGGTTGTGGATGATGATGCACATGGTGGGTGGCTAGCAGGCACGGACGACGGAGATCACGGAGATTTGAATGGCGCCCCGGACCGGGTGAGCTGGGTGAGCCCGGGGTCATAAGGGGAGGCGTGGTGATCATAAAAGGTCGGATTTTAGTTGTGAAACTCAAACCTGAATCTCGGGCCTAAGCTTTAAACGGCCACGCCGAATCTAAGGTACCGTAGGTACCTACCTACCTAACCAACAGTCCGCACCAGGCGACCGAACACACTCCCCACCGCCACCGGCTCCCTTCCCTTCCACCCAGCCATCCAGCAACTACTTACTCAAACAAGACCTCAGACAAGCGCCTTTTTGCTTCTACATCATCCCAGTCCACAATAATCCGGTCCTTGGACTCCCTCATCTTTCTCTCCACAAAGGGCTCCAGAGCCGCCCTCTCTTCGTCCGTCAACATGTGCAATCTCGTCTTCCACAAATCCTGCTTCAAGACACCGGCCACCCGCTCGCCGAAGAATCTCTCATCCAAGAACTTCCAATACACCATATCAAACGCCCAGCTCTTCCTTGCGCCGTAGCTCAGCCAGAACCGACCGGTCTCCCAACTCTCACGCATATACGTAGACAAAGGGACTGGCAGAGCAGCTAGCTGGTTCGCCCCGCCGTTCGGGACCATGCCCTCAGCCCGTTCCATAGCCGCAAACCACGTCTTCAGGCGCCCCTCGTAGATGCGCGTCCAGTCATCCACGCCGGACGGCCAAGTCTCAGCCAACTCGAGAAGCAGCCACCAGGGGGGGTCGAGGGCGAACTGGGTCGGGGCCGCGTACGCAAACTCCCAGTCAATCACAGCCACGAGGTCGTCGGCCTCGCTAAGCAGCATGTTTCCAGCGCGTAGGTCGTCACCCCACAGCCGAAAGGCACCTGACCCATCCGGGGCCGGGGCGAGCTTCCTGAACCGACCAGAAACGCTGCGCGATTGGGCAGACCAGTCATCCTCGGCAAAGCCAAACGACGAGAGACGGCCCTGGCGGGCCAGACAGCGGAAGACCTGGCGCGCGACGAACTTGTTGCGGCAGTCGTCGGGCGACTCCACCGCGTCGTTGTGCTGGAAGGCCAGCTGCGCCAGGTGCATGTCGGCCAGGGCGGCGTACCACGCGTCCGCCGTGCCGTACGTCGTGCCCGCCGGTGGCAGCACGCTCCGGGGGACATTGGCCAGCCGCACCATGTCCGTCATGTTGTGCGTCAGCGGCCGCCCAGCGATGGCGTATGAGCTGTTGTTGCCCTTCTCCATGTCGTCGACCTTGCCTCCACCCTCAACCTCAACCTCGACCAGCCCTCCGATCCGCGGGAAGGTAAGCCGGGAAAGCTGCAAGAGACAGCTAGCGGCCTTGCCCCAGAGGTCCTCGAGCGTGGCTTCAGGCAAGTCTGGATTGAGGACGTGCGCCACGCTCGGGTCGTCGTTGGGGGTCGTCAGTCGAGCCGACACTGATGCTCCCGCGGCACTCGATGTGTTGGAGGATGACGAATGGTCCAACGGTGGGGTCCTGACCGTAAAAGAAGTGCTGAGGCACGGGTATTGAAGTGTTATTTGCGATGTAGTTTGCCGTAGCGGCCTCTTGGAGCGTCTTTTCGACCGGGAACTGGACGAGGTTGGGACATGGAAGCCGGACCATGACATCCGGCCTAGGCGAGACTCCATCAAGACGGACTCTGTAGAGGATATTGAAGCCACCGACGACCAATGGCGACACAAGTGTGGCCGGTATCCCAAAGCGCTGTTTGGCAAGACGCACGCTCGACCTCCCGACAAGTGACTTTCAGACGCATCTGCTTCAGCGACTTGTCCGAGTCTTCATCATTCTTGTCCCATACCAGGTTATCGAGCTCCTCTTGCCCGTCATACATTATCCTGCTTTTACTGTGGTGTTAGCAGGATCGATGAGCTGAGGGTGTGGGATATCGACGTGATGGTTTGGTGTTCTCGAGCGAGATCCAACCACAGCTGCGGTGTGGCGGTGAGTCCGAACACGCGCTTGTGAACAGGCCACCAATGAACGTGAGGCTATGTATCAATCTCGGTGAAAAGCATGGGAGGCAGCATCGTTATCAGCACGCCGGGCCTTGGAGGATCGTGGAAGAGGCGCGGTGTCTCCGCGTCGTCCGCAAAAACTAGAATAAGGGGAAGATGAAGATTCATTTGCGAAGGCTATAAAAGTCAGACCCAACTCCTCTCCCATATGCAATCTAGGTAACTACCTAGTAGTCCACACCACGCGACTGAGCAAACTCCCCGTCACCATTCACTTCCTCGTCTGACCCATCGCCTGCTGGTACAGCTGCTCGTAAGGAATCGACGCGCGCACTGGCTCAGAGATCCGAGTGACACGCTCCTCCCTTTTGATCCTTTCCTCATACACGGCGATGGTCGACCTCCGCTTATCGATCGTGCCCAGATCGCGCCTGTACTCCTTATCCTTCCCCGCCGCCTTGGCCTCCTCGGCCCGCTTGATGTCCTCGTCAAGCTTGATCCTGAGGTTCCGCAGCGTAATCCTCGCCCTAAACCCGTCAAGGTTGATGCCGGACTCTTCGTGGTCGTGCTTGATGCTCGCGCGCGGTATCAGGCTCTCGGCCCTGCCCGCCGTGGCGATCATGCCGCCGAGCAGGAAGGTCTTCATGACCTGGGCGAGGCGCCGGGCGTTGATCCCGCCCAGGTCGTCGGCCTTCTTGCCGAAGACGCGGTGGGGGTGGCCGGCGACGTCGGGCCGGTTGTAGGCCGGCAGCTTGCTCTCGGGGTCGAGGACGCCCATGGCGCGCATGAAGTCGTCGCCGACGGCGCCGACGGCCGCGCAACCGTCGTAGGCGATGACCTTGATCCGCGGGGCGGCGTCGCTGAACGGCATCTCCGTCTTCCGGAGCTCGTTGAAGTCCGCCGATGTCTTGTCCAGCCCGAGCCGCGTGTTCAGGTACCAGTCGACGTTGAGGAAGTCCATGAAGGGCCAGTTGAAGGGGTCCCAGTAGAACTTGAACTCCTGCCGCATCCACAGCCACTCGAGGTGGGCGCCGATGGGCCCGTACTGGAACATTTCCTTCATGAAGGTACCCGGAAGCCTGGCGGCTTTGGCCGCCTCTCGGGACCAGGTGTCGGACGTGAGCTTGTGGGCCGCCAGGTGGTTGGTGTAGTTGGCGGCCTGCTTGAGGTTGAACTTGTTGTTTGCCATGTCTTTCACCGGCTTCAAAGTCACCTTGACTTTGGGCTTGCTACTTTTGCCGCTCTGAGCCGCCTGCTCCGTGGCCTCGACCTCGTAGCCTCCCTGGGAGATAAACTTGGTGAAATTATACTTCATAAAGTCCGCTGTCTTGTCTTTCCTGTCAAAAAACTCTCCAATGTCCTGAAGGGACGAAATCATGAGAGCTGTAACGTTGGATTTGGATCTAAGAACGTTGGTGATCACCGTTTTCGCGTCGGGAAGCTCGAGATTGGGGGGATTCCACGGTGCTCTGTCAAAAGTAATGTTCTTGAGACTGTAGAAGAAGACCCCAGAGTGTTGGCTCAAGTTATCGGTGCCAACACTACCCACCCCGACGGGAAGATGCTCCAGACCAACCAGGCGGAGGATAGTGCGCAGGAATCTGGCACGCTGGTAGGCAGGCTCATGGTTGGCGACGAAGCCGACAAGCTCGATAGCACCCATGCGGTGCATTTCGGCGAGGAAGATGATAGCCAATAGGTCATCGTAGTCCTGCTCGATATCTGTGAAAACAAAAATGCGAGGTTTATCCTCTGCTTTGCGGTTCTTGACGAGGTTGACGAGCTTTCGGTAAGTCTGGTGGTGCTCCTTGTGGGCGACATCACTTTCCTTGAAGGGAATGGACGGGCCGCTCGATTTGGATGTGCCATTACCACTAGCGCGAGGATTGGAGGTTGTGCTCGCGCGTGTGGGTAGCTTCTGCGACCTGGTCGATTCTGCACCACCCTCGGCGGCAGGCCCGTTGCGAACCCTCGGTGCGGTGGAGGCGTTAGCGGGAGTGGACGTTGCTCTGGCAGGCAGCTGCCTCCGTGTGCCCTGTGCATTGGAAGTGGTAGTGGCCTTAGCTGCGCCCTGTGTGTTGGGAGCGGCAGGTGCCTTAGCTGGGCGGCGGCCACCTGAAGTCTGGTTGCCGGAACCAGTGGAAGACATGGCGGAGTTGGCGAGTTCGGAAGTTTTGGATGAAGAGTGTTATTAGTCGGGGCAAGAAGAAAGACTGTCCTGGGCAGGGGCGGTGTCCGGCACCGAGATATCAAGACAGTAAGTGCGACTTGAAGATGGAGAGAGGAGGATGGGGATGAGGTTGGTCTGGTGGGTGATGGCAGTCGAAGCCATACTCTTAAATGCTACCACGCCCAAAGCAGTCACGAGCGCGGTCCGTTGGGCCGTCCGACCAGCCAACAGTGTCATGATGGCTCGAGCAGGCCATATCGGCAGGCAGCAAAGGAGGAACAGGCCGACAGCAAGGACGACAAGGTCACGGAGGGCCCTGTTGGATCTTGTGAAACTGTTGCGCCATGAAGACGGCAGCGATGATATGATAAGAATGACCATTATGGACCGGTATGGCCATCATGGCCGGTCAGATCAGGGAAAATAGGCACCCTACGCAGGTGACCCAGGGGGTGTGATGCTAAAAGAAATACTGGTAAGGTGGAAATAGTGGGATACGGAGTTGGAGCTGGGGGGATAACGTCGGCACGTGTATTGGGCGTGCTGGGGCTTCAATGACGACTGCATGAGGCCAAAATTGGGACCCATACTCTGGCGGCTGGTTTAACGAAACTAGGCTCTTCTTCTTGGCCATGATCCTGCGGAGTAGGCACACGTGGATGTGGCCAAGAGGTCAAGAATGAATCGATGAAAATTATGAAACTTGTGGGGACAGACGAGAACTTTCATGTTCCAGAATATTGAAAGTGGAACTGAAATCTGGATTCGAAGCGGGAAGGGAGCGGCACAGCGGGAGCGGGAGATTTTGCCGAAACCAGCTGAAAAAAGTGCTTCCTCGGCAAGCACTTGCACCGACACCAGTCGGAGGTTGTCTTGTTTCAAAATCTGCGGGTGTCCTTGAGATCCGGAACACCTGAAATCGGACGCAATCAGAGGGCGGCACGGCGTTTCTCAGTGGCCTTCCACAGGCCTCAGGCTTCCTTTCTTGGACGCTTTTTTTTTGTTTCCGCCGGCGCGCGGCGTCTATCTGCTGACTCCTGAATTTTCGAACTGAGCGTTTTTCTTGTTGAAGTTAGGTAATCTTGAAATGCTGACTTCCACGGCAAGCTAGGACCAAGAATAGGTAGCCACAAAGAAGCGAGCGGCGAAGTCGCCCTCTGTCCCTGTGATTATTACCGCAGCGGGAATCTGTAGGGCGCTGTTAGGCTTACATTTCCTGTAAGGCTTAGGAAGAAAGTTTTGACAAATTGTTTTGTAAGGCTTACAGAAGCAATAAGCCTTACGAGATTTGTTGGCCTTCCCACCCATTTTAGGTAGCAAGCCCAGTACAACCGCTAAACCTGTCCGCTGATGTACGCCTGGAATGTACAGAACCCAGAATTTACAGACGGTACTATAGGGGATACTACAGGTCCTCCTTTCCAGCCCGCGTCCCTGTACCCGTACCCGGGCCACCCTACACCCACCCCAGCCCTGTACCCACGCGCCTACCCTACACCCGTACGCCCACCCTATACCCGTACCCGTACCTACCCGGCACCTACCCCAGCCCTATATCTGTACCTACCCGATACCCGGCACTCGCTACCCTGTATACCCACCCGGTACCCGGTACTATACCCAGTATATACTATTTAGATACTAGGGATATAGTTGTAATTATTATATCTATATATATAATTGACCGATCGCTCGATGCTATATATTGAAAGGGTTACTTACTAGTAGTAGGTAATTACCTATAGAGGTATATACTGCTAGTTAGAGGATATTATAGGAGTATACCGGTTGGGAGATATTGTAGGAGTATACCGGTCGATATTGGAATATATTGTGATATTACGATTAAATAATAATAGGATGTTATTTATAAGTTTGTTTAGCGAGCTACTTAGTAATAGATACCGATAACTTAATCTATATAAGCTGCGATTCATCTATAAATATACTCGGGGTTCTAAATTACTATCTTACTATTGTACCTACTATATCGGCTACTATTAGTTAATACTAGGGATAGTAAAATAGGGGACTAGGAAATAGATAATAATATAACTATATATTCTAATAATACCTAACTTCTAAAAGGGTAGAGGGTTATACTCACTTATATAATTACAGTATATATACCTCCTAATCTACCTATATAATCCTAATATCTGTAATCTATACTATACATAGGTATATAGGGTAAATGGTAGTTACTCTATTAATAATAGTATTGTCCTTTATCTCTATAATCTCTAAGTTAAGGAGATAGTACTAAGTAAAGGTACGGTTAACCGGGGTTAGTATAATAAAGATATACCGGTCTTCAAGATTATCGAGAATAAAGATATAGTCTATATACCTGAATCTAGTAGTACTGTTATAAACAAACTAGATAAAGTCGCCTATATTAAAAGTAAAGCGGTTATTGGATTCCCTATTAGAGATAGAGGTTAGTACTCTATATTAAGGGAGTCCCTATTATTTGATATAGGGGGTTGGCCCTAGAGGGTATATCACTGATAGTAGAGAGATAAGTACTAGCTAAGACTTACTAAGTAGTAAAAAGGTAAAAGAATATAATAAAAGCTTAATACTATAGAAAAATACCAAGGTGGTAATAGGTATAAGCTACTATACTAACAGTTTACTATAGTATAAAATATACTCTTTTAGAATTCTAAGTAAAATCTATTAAGGGCTTATAGGAGATTAAGATAACCTTTATAGTAAATCTAACTCCCTATACTTACTTATAGAACTTTAGCAGGCTCAATAGCTGCTAGGCTACTAAAGATACTCGTTATTAAAGTTATAAGTCTATTTTATATAGTATTTTAGTATTTAAGACTCGACCGTTCTTTAGAGGTAGGGAGCTTTCTTATATATAGGTATAGCTAGAGGAGAAGGGGCTACTTTTATAGGGGATTAAGTAGAGAATCTCGTATATAAACCTTATAATAAAAGTCTATATAATACTTATATATTCGATAGATAAAGTTAAGGCTAGTAATATTGTCTATTATCTAGTAGATATAATTACTAGCTTTGGTATTAGACCTTATCGCTATATAGCAATTTAGATACTAAGCTATTAACTCTCCTTCTATACTTATAGGCTTAAAGGGGTACTGGTACTGGCAGGCTTAAGGGGGTGCTGGTACTAGTAGGTATAGGGGTAAAATAGTATATACCGATTAGTAAAGCTGAACTTCCAGAACTATTAAATAGTCCGGCTCTTAAAGAAAAAGGGGTGCTATACCGGTTTCCTATACTTATACTAATAGGCTAGCCAGATCTAGTTATACTATACTAATATTATATTAAGATTACCGGATTTCTATAAGAGCTGGTTATTGTTATTAGCTAGGTATATTATAGTAACCTATTCATTAGGGATCTAGTTAATTATAAAGGGTAAGATATAGTTCCGGTTTACTAACTACTTACTATTAACCTTATAGTTATTACTCTCTAATAGAGCCTCTTAAAAGTTATCCTAGTCTATATAGGAAAGAATTTTATTAAATAGAGTTAGGTATTACTAATATAGCAATTATATCTCTATAGTTAACTCTAGATCTTTATACTTAAATATATTATAAAGTATAAGCTATAACATCTCTTAGAAGTTAACCTTTATAAGTAGTACCTTTTTAATATTAAAATAGTTTATTTTATAGATATAAATCTTAAAGTATCTAGGGAATACTAGGGTTAGTAAATCTATCTCAGTAAAACCAATTAGAGGTTAGTATAGTAGTAGGAGCACCCTATCATACCCTACTAGCTGCTAAGAGGTTTCTTTTTTTTACGTAAAGATTTCCCAGATATAGAGTCCCTCAAACTTAGCTTACCGATATAGATTCTCGTCTATTAGGATATTACAGTTTACAGGAAGTATATATTCCTCTATAAATATTATATAATATACGCCGATATAGATGTTGGGCCGGAGGGTATTATTCTAGTACTAAAGTACCTAACCCGAGTTATCCGTTTCTAATAATAGAACCTCTTCAACCGGTTAAAGCCCTAGAGTTCCGGCCTGTAATATATTAGCTAAGCTAGCCGATGTTACTGCTATAAAGAGATATAGCTAATTAAATAGATACTATATCCGGTAGATAATATATGCTAAATCCGCCCGGTCCTCTCGAGAGATGTAACCTCCTATTGTTATAGTATTGCTCTTAGTAATTATAGTTATTACCTTGATAACTAACTCGACCGGTTCTCTCCCTATAGTACCTTCTACCTATACTAGAAATCTTGGCCGAATATACTTTTGTTTAAGCTAGTAAAGAAGAAAAGCTGGGGCAATAACTGCCTATTACCTATAGTAGGATATCTTATAGCTAGATAAGTAGTGGATAGATAACTAGAGGTAAGTCTACCTAGGTAGGAACGGCTAGCTCTAGAGCTTAATAGTATACTCTATCCGGGCTAATTTAATAAGAATACTATTATATAGTAAGAAATATATTAAGTTGTTAAGACTGTTAAGTTTAGAGTATCCTAGATCTAGGGGGTTAGCTATAACTAGGTCTAAAGCCGGTAATAGGTAATAAAGTATCGGAACCTGCTCGGCTAAGCCCTATTATAAGCTATATTATTTATAGTCTAAGCTAGTTTATAGAGAGTATAGTATTTACTATATCTCTAGTAGTTGGAAATAGTATTAGCTATATATAATATAGTTAAATTTAAACATTATATTAGGGTTAACCGCCTATTAACTAGAGCTAGCAAAGTAGTAGTAATAAAACTTATATATCTGGGGGCCTTTAATACCTTCGTTTTCGGCTACCTATAGTATATCTGCGATATAGTATATTGTGAATATATAAAGCTGGGTTAGGGTATTATTAATGTTAACTACTATTAACTTAGTATCTAGCTAGGCTATAGTTTTTAGGGCTTTAATAATATCGCTAAAGTTGGATGTGTAGGGCCTGTGAATTTTGGTATTAGCGGGCTATCAAGCTACCTATTAAATCTAGTAGGGTAAAGAACTATTATTTACCTAAATATAAGAGGAAATATATTACCGGATAATAGGTGCTCCTTTCTAGTAAGGCTAGCTAGGGTAAAGTAAAACCCTATTAGTATATAATATAAGTTCTAGAATATACTAAAGCTATCGATGAAATCGAAATGTAGGAAAGATATAATAGGTATATTACCCTTTACTTAATCCTAATCTTCCTTAAATATTTATTAACTAAAATAATAAAGTTCTAGCTCTCCCTAGATAGGATATATATAATAGAGTAGCCGGACCTCCTAGACCTCTTAAGCCTATTAGATATAATTAGCCTCCTAGTAGATTACTAGTATATAGTAATATTTATACTATTTGTCTAGCTGGTACTTTGGAATAAATATAGGTTTATTATATTTCGGAAATAGCTCTAGTAAGGACCTTTATATATATCGAGGTAGCTTCTAACCTAGGTTATTATATACTTTGCTGGTATACTAGTCGATATATATATAGAGGTAGCTATATATACTTATCTCTAGGATATAGGCTAAGGTAATAGTAAGAATAAGCTCTCGATTAGTCTATAGTAGGTCGATAGCAGTACTAATAAGTTCCTAGTTAAGGTTACTAAACCTATATACCTCTTAGATCTATAAATAGAGTCGGTTAGGTTCTATAATATAGAGCTTTATATAGTAGTCGAACCTAACACTATATATATAGCCAATATATAGATTTAATACCTTATTAAACTCGTCGTTAATCTTATAGTACATCCAGTTACAATCCCTAAGCATATAGCGGTAATATACCTAGTTAGATAGAAATACTACTAGTTCTTACTCTCTAGGAATAACGATATAAACAAAGTAGCCGGATATAGTATAGACTAATAATAACCAAATATATAATTTAAATAGCTTATATAGGTTATTAATAAAGAGTCTAGGGCCTGAGTATACCTTATATCTAATATCTAATTTAATAAGGTTCTTAAAAATAGTTAGAGGGTCGAAGAATGTTAATTGTATTATAGGCTTCGGTAGGTTCTTAAGGTTACTGCTAGTCTCGCTAAGTTGGTCTATATAGAGCTTTGCGTTATCTGCCTCCCTAGCTATAGTATATATTTCGGTGCTCTTCGGTGCTCTCTCTACCTTTCTTATAGGTAATCTGGGCGGCTGCTCTAGTAGTTGTAGCGGTAGTGGTTTTAGCCTCTAGGAGGGTATATATAGCCTTAACTTTATACCGTTCCTCTAGCTTTAGGCTAGCTAGTATAGTAGGGAGTTTCAAGATATTAAGGGGAATATTAGCCTTATATATATATATTATTAGCATCTAGCTATATATACAATTACAGAGGGTAGAGAGCTGTTTAGACAGGCTCTATATTATAGTTAGTATATTATTATCCTTATTATAAATAAGGAATAGAAGCTTCTAAAGCAATACCTAGTTTTAGCAACTAAGCTTAGTAAGGTTAGTAAATATAGTAAGGGCTTTCTCAAATATAGTAGTCTAGATAAACTTATTCTGGTATATCGGAACTAGTACTAATATATCTTTAATATTAGGGTATAGAGGAGGCACTTTAGTAGTAACTTCCTTTAAAATCTTATTAATATTAAAGGGAATATTATTAGAAGGTTACCTACTAACTTAGATATACTCCTTATATTTACTAGCCCTAAGGGCATTATTAAGTTCGATTACCGAATATACTATATAAGCTATAGCCTTCTTAAGATTGCTATTGCAAAGAGTATTAGCATTAATAATAGCTATTATCCATTATTAGTACTAGGCCCTAGAGGCACTATAATAGGAAGAACCTAATAGGGGGTATCTAGATACCTTTATTTTCTAAGTTAGATTCGGATACTATAGCTTTAAGTTTAATAGTATTTAGGTTACTATTAGTACTATCGCTATTACTATTCTCAACCCTAGGTAGTATAAAGTTAGAGAATACCTCGGGGTTAGTTTCAGCTCTATTATCTTTATCGTTGCTAGTAGTGAACTGGGGCAACGAGCTCCCTCTGACCAGAGGGACATAGGGTCTGGAATTTTCGTTTTTCCGTTTCTTCGTCGCATTCGTCCGCCTAGGGCGTCCTTGTATTTAGTTAGAGGCTCAAGCCCTCTTAGAGTTTACGGGGCATACAATTCTATTTCTTTTTCCGTACTTGTTGAAGTGACCTCTTTTTGCAGTAGTTATAACCGCGGCCTTCTAACCAGAAGGCTACGTACGCAGGTGCATTGATTCTACAGTCGTAGGATCTGTAGTATTGAAGATTGTTCTCTAAGCTAATTCCTCCCTTATATAACATTAACATTACAACGTGTATGTGGTACGTAACTTACTATAAGTGTTTGGTGGTATGTATGGTTTTGAGGTATATCGCTACTTTAAATAGGGGCTTAATCGGGGAGGAGCTTTGCTCTAGGTCTAAACTGGGCTATAGAACCTTCTGACCAGAAGGACAATTCGTTGAGAGGACGGATTTAGTTACGAGAGAATTTATAAGGTAGAGGCTGTAAGACTCGAAAAATAACGACGAAACCTCTAATAAAGGATTAAGGGTTACTAATCTGGCCGAACTAAGCTTAAAGGAGAAAGGCTCCGCTAACTTATTAATAAAAACGATAATCGGATCCCTAAGAGATTCTTCTAACTAGTAGGCGATCGATACGCGAAAAGCGATCGGTCTATTATAGAGAAGTAGGATAATAGAATCCGGAATAACAATCTTTGGATAACCGATATAATATTTAACTTCTTATTTACCTCCTCGAGGTAGGTTTAACCTTAGTTTAGCCGACTTTTCTCTACCTAGTATAGCTTATTTTAAACGGATTAATAACAATAATAATTATAGTATTCGGCTTAGCTAAGCAAACTTACTAGGGTATCTATAACCTCCTTCGGAATATATATTAGGAAGGATACTATTAGTTTAAGAAGATAGATAATTACTGGAGCAATATAGTTAGAGGGTAAAGATCTAAAAAGGATGGAGGGTTGTGGACTCGGTATATAGGAAGGAATCAAAATCCGTATTAGAATTCGATAGTATGTATCTCGATCGAAATCGGATAAACGGATATTTACTACCTTTATATAACGTAAATACCTCTACTAACTAGCCCTCCCTCTAGATAAGTAGCGATCTCAATAGACGGTACTCTAATTTTAATACTAGCCTCTATATAAACTACCATATTAGTTAATTTAGATACTCTAGCCTCTAAGCTTTTAGTAACTAATACTCCTTAAGCCCGTTTAATCGATAAGATAGCGGATTAACTCGCTAAGATATTCCGGAACCTATTCCTCAGCTAGTTAGATAACAGCCTATCCGGACCTTTTAAAGGGTATAAATCTATACTCTACTTAGAACGATTCGGAAAAGCCTTCTGTAAGTATAGCGGGGTAGAAGAATACGATAAGATCCTATACTTCCTACAATAGTATAACGATAACCTTTAAGAGATTATTGATAATTAGGATAAAGATAAGAAAGATATCTAGGTTTATTTCGAGGTAACGGTTAAAGAAAGATAGTAGTAGAACGATTTCTATAAGAATAATTTAATTAAAGAGTTTAACCGAGCTATTAAGGGTACCTACGGCCTGGATACTTAAAGTATCTATAACTATTTGGAAAAGGTTAAGGTCCTCCTAACTAGAGTATTAAAGAAGAAGAAGGTTTATATAAAGATTAATGCTGTTAATAAGATCTGGGATAAACTACTAGGTATATTCTAAGCTAGGTATAGACTATATTAGAACTTCAAAGATAATGTTAATTTCCTCGAATAGTCCAAGTTCTATAACTTCCTTTAGAAATGTTTATATAACGGTATAAATGTAGGTACTATATTCTATAAACTTGAGCCTAAATTAGCTAAAGTAAAGTAGGGTAGTATTATTAACTAGTTTACTATAGTTATAAAAAGTTTACCTACTATGATATTTATATCTACTTCCGATATCTAGATAGGCTTGGATTGTAAATAGGATATTAACGATTTAATAGCTGGTTTAGAGGAATTAAGGATTAATAAGTTCTATCTCGAGAAAGGTTATGTTAGAGTAATCGAGAAGTTTAGAACTATTAGAACTAGGATCTCTAATACTAAAGTAGAAGAATTTAGAACCTATATATAAAGTGCCTACAGAGGTTGAGATAGCTATAATAGTAGCTACTCTAGAGGCTTAGGGAGAAACGAAGAGGGATTTAAACCTAACTCTAGATCTCAGAACCCTTTAGACTGTTACTACTACGGCCTTACTACCTACTTTATTATTGGATATCCAACCCTTTCTAAAGATATCTATAAAGGATTAGTAGAAAAAGAGGGTTTTAATTAGTTTCTTAAAAGTAGTAGTTATATTAGTATATAATAATATCGGGTGGGAGTAGACCGAAACGATATAGATAAAGCAGCTAACTACGGAGATTAGATATATATTGTTCGAGCTTATACTTTTAGATGCCCTAATCTGACTAGCTAGGGACTATACTAAGACTGGTATACAGCCTACAGATCGAAGTAGGGGCGGGAGTATAAGCCCGATATTAGTTTGATTACTAACGCTAAGTTTATCCGAGAGGCTAATAAAGTAGCTTAACCCTAAGAATCTATCTATACTTCTATTAACTATATTACTGAAAGCAGTAACCTTATAGTTAGATCTCTTTTCGCCTATACTATAGCCAGATCGTTAAACTTCTTTATAGACCGAGAATAAGGAGGCTATACTATAGTATAGCAGTACGTCCAGAAGAACCTAGAAGAGCTATATAACAATGCCTAACAGTAAGCCTGGGTAGAAGAAGCTAGAGTAGTAGAAGAAGTAGAAGTAGAAGAAGTAATTACAATAGTATAAGGAGTACCCCCGCTGAAATACCTTTTTTAAGAAGTTAAGAGCGAGGGACCCCTTTACAGTATCTAAGATAGCGATGAGGTCCGGAAAGCCCGGAAGACAATTCTTAAATATCCGCTTAGGCCTTCTTTAGCTAACTAGAGGGTATAACTATCTTCGGCTATAGGAAAGAAGCTGGTTAAGAAAGAAGTGATATCCGATAAAGCCTGAGAGTTAGATGCGGTAGGGTATCTTAAGGAGTTGGTCTATAAATCTTTATAAGTTAAATCCTTATTAACTATAGATAACCTCCTAAAGATCTCTCCGGTATACTATAAAGCTTTACTAGCCTATATTTGTATAGCCGGTTCGTCCTATAAGGTTATTAACTATAAGGGTTCTAGTATCCTAGAGTAAGATATAGCCTGTATAGTATCTAAGGAAGGTAAGGGACTCCTATAGTCTGTAAAGACGAATATTAATAATTTAGGAAATTATCGGGGTATTGACTAGAAGGGGGAAACTGTTTTAGCGATCTTTAGTATTATAACCGATAGCCTATAGTCGGTGGTTTAGGGAGGGTTTTGGGAAAAGCTCTTTTAAGGTAGCTATAATAAGCCTTTAACTATATAAGTAGAGGAATTGTTGAAGATACCCTATAGTTAGTTTATATTCAGTTAAAAGATAGAGCTTAGAGTGATTATCCGGATATATACCTTGCCGAACCTTTACTACTAGTTTAAGGATATCTATAGTAATAAGGAGCTTATATTTCTTAATTTAGGGTTGGAATGTAATATAATTACTCTAGACCTTGCGAAGAAGTATAGCCTTCCTATCCAGACTATAGAAGTTGTTTCGAAAGGATTATATTAGTCTAAACCGTTTATAGGAGAAGTCTTTATAAAAATCATCCTAGCTAGGAATGCTATTACAGAATACTTCTTTATATTAGACGGCGATATAAAGGGCTATAATATCCTATTAGGGATACTATTCCTTCGTAATATATCCCTAACCTTCGACTATAGTAACAGCTATCTAGTTACTATAAACTATATTATCAGGAATAAGCTTATTAAAGCCTATATAGTTTCGGATGAGATCTCGGGCCTACACCGCTTGAAGTAACTCCTAAATAAACTTTTTTAGAGGTTGGTTTAAACTACCGAAAGGACCCCTAATTAGATAGAGCTTTAAGAGAGTAAAGAACCTTTGGGCTTTATAGGAGATATAGAAGGTAAGGTAATTTTTAACCTAGTTTTGAAAAATTGTTATTTACCCCTTCTTTATATGCTAGTATATATTTCTTCTTCTTTATATTCCCCTTCTAGATAGGAGACTCCGAAGGATCTAGTACTATTAGAGACAGTCCAGAAGGTTAAGACTTTTCTTAACTATATTAGGTGCTACATACTTGCTAAGGTAATTCGGAAAGGACCCGCCAGCCTCCGGACATTTACTATATATA